GGGCCGTACATTTATCTTTCCAATGCTGCAATATCAGTCTTTTGGCCATAGTAAGGGCACAGAGAACATTTACGTTGCCCGGTTGTCAAGTTCCATGTACTTGGTATCTAATTCAAGAGAATATTATCCTCTGAAAATTTTAGCTTTTGTCACACAGTCATATTTACATAGTCCACTACTTTCTCCCAAAATTTATACAGTATAGAGCACTGTAGAAACATAAGTTTTAAAGAAGCTTTATCCTTATTACATCTCCAACAAAATGCTGTTTTTGACAATCCTTTTCTATACAAATGGAGTTCAATAAATTCTAAATATTATTTTTTGTCTAGACAATATAGGAACCTCTAACTCTTTATTCCACTCATTTCTTAACATCTGTATATCAGATTGATTTATTGATACCAAATATCTTTAAAAACTAATAGTTTTGTTTTGTTTTTTTAGTTTTAAAGGATTTAACAAGTTGTTCTAACAGCTCAGGTGTCTCAGAAACTGAAAATGCTGATGGTCTGTCTTTTCTGGTTTTAAACCTAGTTCGCTCTTGTTCAAGTTCAGTAGTTCCCTTTGAACTATTTTTGTTGGATGCGATAACCCACTCCCAAAATTGGACTTTCTCCTTTGAGAGAGCTGAGTTCAAGTAAGGCTACTCAGCATATAGACTGTTACAGAATATTGCAGGAAACAGTTTTTGTGTAGCTCTGGGTACCATCATTTAGGCTAAACCATTCTGTGCTGCTCTGACACATGGTAAAATTATCAGTGTAGCTCCTCATTGATAATGATCTACTTACTGTAGAGGGGCAGAAGAATAGAGGGAAAAAATGAAGGTATAAGTTTTCATAGGAGAGATTCTATGTGCATATGTGTGTATGTGTTTGTGTAGGAGCACCAGTGGTACTCAAGCTCTGTTGGCTAAGCAGGGCTGGTCTGAAAGGCAGGACAACCCTTCTTCTTGGGCAGTTGTTTCACGACCGAACCTGCCTATTAGCTCCATGTTTAGAATGCCACCCATGAGACTCTGGAGGATAAAAAGAAATTAGAATTAGTACCAGATATAACAGCCATGGGCTTTTCAACTCTTTCTCTCGCTGCTTTGTGTTAATTAGATTGCTGCCATGTTTTAACTAAAATATCCTTCCTTCTTCTTGATTTTATAGATAATATTTTTATTACAGCTTTTTTTAGAGGAAATTTATGCCTCAAAAGATAAGTTCCCTTATATGGTCAGAAGAATGAGGATCAAATCCTTGATAGTTACAAAGCTAACATACAGCCCATTATCTTTTTATTTTCATGCCTGAATCTTTTCATTGTACAGATAAGTCCTCGCTTAATGACTGCCCTGTTCAGCAACCACTTGAAGTTATGATGGCACTGAAAAAGTAACTTTATGACCAGTCCTTGCATTTACAACCGTCACAGAGTCCCCGAGTCACGTGATCACCATTTGCAGACTCAATGGAGAAGCTGGCAGTAAAATTGCAAGTCATGGTCACGTGATATCTTGCTTAAGAACTGCAGCAGAAAGAGGTTGTAAGCCTATTGCGGTCACGTGTTGTCTTGCTTAACAACTGCATCACTTAGCGACAGAGTCCCAATTGTGGTTGTTAAGCAAGGACTACCTGTATAATTATTGTCCTCATGTTTTTATGCAGCAGTATATCCCAGTGCATGCAAATATCAATCACTTCTTCCCATAGTGCTTTCCACACCAGCTTGAATATAGCTGGCACAATTCAGGAGTATGTTACCAAACCACCAATAAAATAGATTTAGTTTGCATGATGCAGTTATACATGTCAGGTCAGTTATGACTATTGTTTAAGAACTGTTCCTTGATATAGAAGTAATACAGGTAGTTCTCACTTAACGATGGTAACTGGGACCTAAATTTCTATTGTTAAACAACGCGGTTGTAAAGCATGACAGCACTGACCATGCTGGTTGGTGATAGAAATTCTAGCACTTCCATTGCCATCATTAAGCAAATCACCACAGGTCATTAAGCAAGGACGTCACATGATTGCCATTTGTGACCTCCTGCCACCTTCCCTATTGACTTTGCTTGTAGGAAGCCAGCAAAGAAGGTCACAAATGGCAGTCACGTGACCTCAGGGACACTGCGACTGATGGAAGTACAAGGACCAGTCATAACTACCACTCATTCAGAACCATCATAAGTTCAGATGGTCACTGAACAAGTGATCATTTAGCGAGGACCACCTATAAAACTGAAAAGCTGAGCTTCTTGAGAAAAGGAATGGCAAACCGAGGAGCCATGGTATCAAGGTGGAAAACACCAGTGCTTGGTAGAGCATGCCCTACCTGTGGCCCATCTGCACTGGTGTAGTTGCATTAGAAAACATGCATTAGAATCTCTCTCTCTCTCCCCCTCCTCCCTCCCCTTCCCCCTCCCCCTCCCTCTCCCCCTCTCCTTCCAGGCAGAGACATGTCTAGAGTGATCAAATTATCTGGATGTAAACGAGTGCAGGCAATACCATGTAATAGGAGTTTGCTGCCTTGATTCAATGTTGTAAAAATCTTTGCCTTGGGTAGTTTGGATCCCAACTGTCAGAAAGAGGCATACAAGTTGGTTGGGGAAGCAAAGATCCTGAGAAGACAGTGAATACAAATCACTGAAAAATTCTGCACATACAATAGAATAAATATGCATACAATATTAATATTGTAAAAATATTTAGAATTAAATCCTTAAAATTTATCTGGTTCTTACCTAATTTGTTGGCAGTGTGTATTCCAGGAGGTGAGGGGGCTGAGGCCAAACATTTTTTTTTTGTTAGGGCCCCGATAATCTCGTCCTTTAAACTAGACGACTCCCTCAGTAGAGACCTTCTAGAACATAGTGAAAACTGAACTTTGGGGAATTATTTGCTATCATTTGATTGGTTTACTATTTTATATTATTATTTATACTAGTATTTATTGATAAATGATATTTTGTTGACTGCTATATATTAAGATTTTTTTGTACCTTGGATATTTTATGTATTCTATTGTCGTCTTGCGAGTCAACGAGCCTGGTAACAGTCAGTCCATACAAATTAAATAAATAATAACAATATATATATGTATACATATGGCCCATGTGCTTCTTAACAATTAGAGATTCTTTTTATTAGAAATTGTTTCAGTTATTGGTTACAATTCATTTTTGTAATTGTGTGCCCAAATCTTTATGGGTTTGAAGTAACACTGCTGATAAATTCTGAACAAATGAGAGAGGGATTCACAGAATAACATCCACTGTTTTGGAGTTATCAGATGCCTCTGGCAATTCCTGTTTTTGACAGCTGTTATAGATACCTTTGTTGTGTTGCTGTGACTTCCTGGGTCCAGGGCAGGCCAGTATTAGCACTAGGAGAGTATCAACACCAATGTTACCATTGAACATAGCAATTAAGAAAGTTACAGTAAAGTATTTAGATACATTTATCTATTGATTAAAACATATGTTTTTGCAATGTCCTAAAGTTGTTATGTTCTTGGAAGAAGTGATTACATACATTAATTTTACTCTGAGGCAAAGTTTAATATGTTCAGATCTCCACATTCTGTTGAACCACATGCCTGTTACATAGGAACTGACAGACGAACAATAGAAATCAATTCTGCATGCCATTGTTGTTGCTAAGAGATTAGTCTTCAACACTGGAAAGATAAATGTATGGCCCAGTTATTCAGTGGATTGAAGACTTGATGATAACTTAAAATTTAGGAGTGAGTTGCCTACAGAAGTAGATTATGTATGGACAATTACAGTGAAATATGGTCATCCTTTATTGAAACTCTTCTGAAAAACTTGCATATACATATAGCAGAAACATATACACACATATGTGGATTGTTGAATTCCTTTTTTCCCCTCTTTTTTTTTCTTTCATTGTTGTTTTATTTTCTTCTTCTATTTTATTAAAGGCATGAATAATTTTTTTAAAAAAATAAGCATTTAACTCTTCGTAATTTATCTTCATTAAACATAGCACTTGCTCCTTACTATTAGGCAGGCGAATATATCCCATACTTCATGTTTTCTGTTGTTTTCTTGTCTCAAATTACAGATACTGGTTTGGGAGATTCTGTGTGTTCCAGTCCAAGTATATCTAGTAACACAAGTCCTAAACTGGACCCGCCTCCTTCCCCTCATGCAAACAGGAAAAAGCATCGTAGGAAGAAAAGCACTAGCAATGTTAAAGCTGATGGTATCTCCGGAACTGCTGAAGGTATCCATTTTACATTATCTTATGAACCAAACTCTTTATACTGATATGTCTTAAATGTTGGAAGAGTTTTTATCCAGATTTGAATTTGGCTAGATTTTTATTATTGTGCTGCTTGCCTGCCATTATGTCCTGGGATAACAACAACAAAATGTCCTCCCTGTATTTTTTTTAAGAAACAAACCAACTTCTAGATGGAACTGGGTGCTTTCATCTGTAATCTGTAAGAATTAAGACTGCTTCCATGTCTATTTTACTCTCATGAATGAAGTGGAAATAAATTACCTGGTGCAACTGATAGAAGGATGGAACTCCATCTTGAATTCTTGTGATTTTGTGCCAAAGATTTTTTTGCTACATCACCTTTTCCTTTACAGTAATTTTCATTTCAGTATGGCTGTGTGAGTTTTGTCACTGGAAATTGACTTTATTTTACAAATTATTCTACAGTTGTTTTCATTAGGATGAGATTGGGAACAGATATTTGGTATAATTGAAAGTGCATTTGATGCAACACACAGATTACAATGAATTAATTTTTAAACTGCATTTGGAAGACACAAATGCCTTTTCAAGACCAGGCAAATGAATTAGTACTGATGCCTATTAGGATGTGAGACTTGAGATTCTTTTATAATGTACAAAGTAATGGTTACAGCATTTTCTACGAGCAAAACGTGCCATGGGCCTGTCAGTCCAAAGGACTGTAACTTTATGCAGCCTCCCCAGCCTCCCTTTTTTGTCTTTATTCAGTGCATTGTCTTTATCAGTTGATTCTATATAGGGGTATAAAAAGTAGCACTCTGCAGTTCTTCATACAGGATTTGGAAGAAGTGGTTTGGAACATGCAGAAACATAGTTACAGCACCTGTTGGTGACTTATGAAAGTAGATCTTATTTTTATTCCTCAGCACTAATGAAATCTATTCTGTAGTTTGGCAGATGATTGTTTGCAGATCAACAGCAGAGAAACCTCCCAGTGCTGGGCAGTTATAGAGCTCAAATCCTGAAGATTTGAGGTCTGTAACTGTCCAGTGCTGGGAGGTTTCCCCTCCTCTTTCAGCGCTGGGCAGTTACGGAGCTCAAATCTTCAGGTGCTCCTTTCACTGCTGAGAGAGGGGAGGGGAAAGAGGATGGAGTAAAAGAGTGACAGCTCTTTCTCTCCATCCTCTTTCTTTCACTCCATCTTCATGGAGCTGAAATCCTTCAGTAGACAGCTCTTTTGCTCCATCCACTTAACAACCTGGGAGATCACCTAACAACTGCAACCGGGAGTGCCCGTATTGCAGTCGTTGAGTGAAGCAGTCATTTGGGTGTCTCGCTTAAATACCGCTTCACTCAATAACCAAGATTCCAGTCCCAATTATGGTCATTAAGTATTGTCATAGGATTTGATTTCTCTTCAATTCTTCTTTATCCCATCACACAGATTCCTTCAAGGTTTTAACAAATCTCTTTTGTAGATCCAATAAGAAAACAATTTCCAGGTCATCCTTTTGGTTTATCATTTGTATTTCCCATTTAATCTTTAATACTGCAGCCAGTTTCTTTTGTATATCCAGTAAAGTGTCCTTTTCCAAACCATTCTCTTGGTCTGTATTTGTAGTTCCACATTCTGTACTTTATCTTATCAGATAAAATTTGTTCCATATCTGTCATTCCTTCATTACCATCTCTTAGACATAGTCTGTCCACAGAAGTAGACATCATTATTGACAGTGTTGATATTGTATTTACTAACTTCTGGCTCCATTCTTCAAATATCTCCTTTAATATTTCCAATGTTATAACATTTTGCATCATTCTGTAAGTCCCAGTATTAATTGACATCAGGCTTGTATTTTTTTTCTTCTGCTTAAAATCTTTAGTCCTCTCTAGTGTGTTTCTAAAATCATCACTTATCTTTTGTTATGACTTGCAATTTCAGGATAACCAAAATAAATCTGTTTCCCATGAGAAGTTGTTTGTTTTTTATAGTTAATTCCAAAATCTTAAGGTAAAAGTCAATATTCCAAATTTATCTGGACCCTTAATCTGTTTATACTTTCTTAGACCAAAATCTTATTTAGCTTTTTACTGTTTATTTCAATTTTTTAAAGTTCTTAAGCTTGTAATTAACTTTTCTTTTGTTCAGAGTTGAAGATAAACTCACCTGATGAAGACTTTTCAAAC